CAAAATTTTAAGTCTGTAGATAATAGCAGTTGAGCACGATTTTAGTTCTCAATTTCTTTAATACACTACACCAAAAGCTATGTATTGCTTTCACTTGTCAGCAGTCGGGTGTCTAAAACTTTTGCTGACATTCGAGACAGATTTGAAACCTGGATTGACATATGGGCCAATGATTATAAAAGAGCTACCAACGCAGACATAACGGTCATTTTACGCGACTATAGAAAGGGTGGGTCAACAAGATTGAGGAGCAATGTAATGGCTTTTTTATGAACTATCAATATCTCATACCGGTTGATTGCAGAGGTAATGATGATACAAAATCTCAGAAGATAAAAAGTCTATGCCAAAATAATCATGAATGCGGTGGTTTATCATGTTGAGCACGATAACAGTCCTCCCTTCATTACTGTCCACTAGCAGAAGAACATACAGACAAGTTCCAACAGTGATTGAGTTTGAATGTTGGTTAATCATCAAATAAGAACGGAACAATAACAAGCTGTAAACACCATGGCAACTGGTGAGTTCATTTACTGACCCCCCTCCCATCACGAGGATACAGAGATATACCCGCTTGTATAGTTTTATGAGAAAGAAATTCCGTTCAACAAGTCTTATCTGGAATACTCTTCCTGTACCCAGGAGACTAAGCCGCACTTGGTTCAGTAAGAACCCATATCATGGTGCATCCTGTTGAAAACACAACAGTTAGCCATGATCGAAGACATGATAAGGGAATGCTAATATATATATAAAGCATTTCATACAGTACCGGATGATTTTTCAGATGTGAGTTGTTTGGGTATATCATGCCAAAATCTATTGTAAAAACTTAGGTGACACCTTACGCCAAGTGCCATGAAACGCACTCTGTGGTAGATGAAACAACGAAACCAGCTGGATATTCATCGTAATTCGAGCTACTGGTCAAATAGATCTGAAAGTGCAGCATCAGTTGATTATTAGTGTGACAGAAAATACACCATCCGGAGAGTACGAGAAAATGTGTATCATTTTCACTACCTCGTCATTATATACTAGTCATGAGAACTACGCCGAATATCTTGATAAAATCTCGATTGATTTATGGCACGTACCATAAGAACCGAAGGTATCCTTCAATTCTGTAAGTAGGTATATATGTAAATTCCAATAAAGCTCACTAAAAGAGCTTTTTACCCAATGTTTGCGTGTGTATATATGTAAAATCAGTCCAGCTGATTAAAATTCAAAAATGAAGAGGTGTGTCCTTCTACATGGCGACAAGGAGGAGGCTCTTCTTCAGATACTCTCCTTGTAGGCACTGTGTCTAGCAGCCTCTTGCGCAAACAACTCCCTGTCCTCTGGAGTTGCTGGCTTAAATTCACCATGAGATCTCAATAGCATACTCTTCTTCAATGGTCCGTTATAGATAGCAGCTTTTCTATACTCGGCAAAGGATTTGAAGGAGTTACCAGTTGCAGCCTCCTTAGCTGAAGTTGTGGTGACATTCTCCAATGCAATGGCTGCAGCTCTCGAAGAAGTATTGATGAGTCTGATAGAGTTAATTCTGAACATCTTAGTATTTAAAAGGAAGACTTGACAGTTCGCTGATCTACAACAGACGGTAATCTCAAAGGATGATGTTTGTAAGAGGAACTCATCGCGTACTTATATAATAAGCAGAAGGTCACACACATTAAAGGGTGCGAAATTTTTTTTTGTTCTTTACCTTGGGTACTTCTGCAAAACTGTGTGTACAGACGTCATCGGCACTAAATGTCTTGCGTGTTTTCTCTCATCCCGTGGTTCGATGTGCTTGAACTGTTTTGATTACTGATCTACAATTGCAGTATTGCCATCGCACCAAAAAAAAATGAATGACCTCTTTTTT